CGGACCACTTGGCAATCCTCATTTCCTGACCCCACCTATCCACCAAATTATCCTTAAAAATCTTGATTCCTGAATTTTTAGGGAGACTGATTTGTGTAATAGTGAAACTCGGATCTCCTATACAGCCACCTTTATGTGACTTAAACTCTCTATTGCAATCCCCTTGTCTTGATAAATCAGCTCTGCCTGGGCGGTGGGCAAGGATAACTTGCTGTGTGGTTACAGAATGATATAAGAGATTTATGAAGAAGACCCTTCACCTCTCTTTAAACAGTGGGTCCTTATCCAGGGCTCAATCAGAGAGGTGGGACAAAGGCTTATTTGCCTCAATTCTTGTGAAGAGTTTCCCTGATATAAACCAGACACCCATGGATAATTTGGCAGAAAGAAAGAAGCAAGGGTGGTTCCCTTTCAAAAATTCATTCTTTCATTCTTCCAGTTATTCAATACAATTTTTTAAACAAAATGTCAGGAACGTTGCTAGGCACTATAAATAATAGTTGTCTCTGAACTCCATTGGATATAGACAAGTAATAAAAATTAAAACATTATGGTAAAGAACTCCACTGGATATAGACAAGTAATAAAATTTAAAACATTATGGTAAAAAGTGATGGCTTCCCCATTTTATCAAACTTCAGGAAATACAAAGAGAGAAGGAATACCCACACAGATAGTTCGAAACAGATACAGAGCTGAAGCATTCCTGAAGCCAACCAATAAAGTAGGCAAGCAATATTTTATAGAGTATATTGGAAGTAAGAAAGTTATTGTCAGAATTCAAAAGACTGAAGTTTGAGAAACTGCCTAAGAATATAATTTGGGAGTAGAAGCCCACATGTGAAAACTGGAAATCTCACAAAACACATTGGAAGAATTAACAAATTATATATAGAGGTTTTTTTTTTTTTTTTTTTTTTTTTTTTTTTTTTTTTTTTTTTTTTTTTTTTTTTCACCATGTTAAGGAGGTTCTGGGGAGCTCAATATAAACTCAAACTCTTTACAGTTTTTCATAAATACACGTGTGTGCGCGTGCGTGCGTGTGTGTGGGCTATAGTAAAGGATATAGTTCGAACTATGGATGTAAATGCATGTAGCTCCCACCCCTCCTTCTCTAATACACACACCAGATTCTGTCTTTACAAACTCACCCATTATCCAAAGTGATGAAAAATAGAAAATAAAAATTCCAGAGGATAGCAAAAAAAGCATTATTTTGATTTTAAATTAAAATAATCAGCACTATTTTAGCCTAAATTAACAATGGCTGAAATTGTTATCATAAAAATAATAGATTTCTGACTTCCTAAATACAACCTGTTTTATCCGTTTTTGGATAATATAAAATCTTCCAAGGGCTCAAATTGTTTTTAGACATCAAGCACTAGTTTCCAGCCTGTGTCCATTCTTCCCTTTCCAGGGAGAAGCAATTCATTGTTTTGTGTTTCAGGTTTGGGGGTTCCTCCCTCTGCCAACACTATTGCAGGTAGATTCCATGATTGCTTAGCTACACTGACTGTCTCTGAGACACATGTAAACATAAATGTCCTTTAGGAAGTTCTTAGGTATCTTCAACACATTCCTCAAAAGTCCTTGTTCTGCTTCCTAAACTACTTTTCTAGATTTAAATAAGTCCATTTTATATGAACAATAACCCAAATAATTTTTACTGCAATGTAAAAACTACACTTTCCAGGATATACAAACAGTCCCTATTGAGCCACATAGTCATCATTTCCACATAGCAAGCATTTTTCCCCACCCTTTACATTCTAAAGTTAGTCATTTCATTATAGTTTGAGAAATGGTTCCATCATTTATCTGCCTTTTTCATTCAGTGGAAAATTATACAAAAGACTAGCACATTACCTTTCACCAATATTCATCATGGACAAATATACATGAGATTACAATTATTCTCAATTACTCATATTCCTGAAAGTGCATTGCATGTAATCACACATAATATGCTTTTTTCTCCATTATTCCTTTATTCATATTTGAACTTATATATTTCTACAAGTAATGATTTGAATTCAAAAAGTATCATCAAAAGAAAATGAAAAGGTTATATAAATGTCACTGCCTTGCTGTGAATATTACACGCTCTTGCTGAATTCAACTCTGAACATCTGGACTAGATTTCTACCGTAAAGAGAAATACATCTATGCATAAAATAGTGTTCCTAGCAATAGTTTTTTTTTTTTTTCACATTTATTTATTTTATTGTATTTTAGGTTTGGGGGTACATGTGAAGAACATGCAAAATTGTTGCATAGGAACACAGAAGAGGCTTGAAAACATGAAAAAGTCCTTCTAATCACACACTTAGACATACAGTACCCTCATTCGTCTTCTCTCTATAGCAAAGCTGGATATTATTAAGAAACTTCATACTGCCCCTCCTGCTCCTTCTCTTCTTGGTACTTGTATATAAAAACCTTTTGACTGGGCGTGGTGGATCAAGCCTGTAATCCCAGCACTTTGGGAGGCTGGTGAGCGCCGACCACTGGTGGTCAGGAGTTCATTACCAGCCTGGCCAACATGGTGAAACCCTGTCTCCACTAAAAATACAAAAATTAGCTGGGCATGGTGGCACATGCCTGTAATCCCAGCTACTCAGGAGGCTGAGGCAGGAGAATCACTTGAACCCAGGAGGTGGAGGTTGCAGTGACCCGAGATTGCGCCACTGTACTCCAGCCTGGGCTGGGTAACAGAGCAAGACTCCATCTCAAAAGAAAAAAAAAAAATTCACGCATCCAACCTGGTGATCTTTCCCTTTCAGAAGCCCTCTCTCTGGTGAGAGAGAGGGCTGTCCTCCTTTCTCTTTCTTCTGCCTAGTAAACCTCTGCTCCTAAACTCCTCATCTGTGTCCCTGTCCTAAATTTTCTTAACATGAGAGGATGAACCCCCCGGTATTTACTCCAGACAATGTAGCCACTTCATCATCAATCTGATTGTGGTATAAATAACAGATAAAGAAGAAACTCCAAAGTACATTTCTTTGCCATAAACTTGAAATGGCCCTTCAAAGACATTTTTTGTGGAGGACAATCTGTATCTAGACCTTTCCCCTTCCACGCCCTTCCAAACCTGAGGAGATCAACTAAGAGTTTATTTTAAGGTACCTTTTAAAGGTTTGAAAAAGAAACACTTGCCAACTATTGTCTCTAAGGTGACCACCTATGATAATTGATCTACGTGATAAGAACCTCGGTGTCCACAACCTCCTATCTTAACCCAGTCACTCTTTTCTATTGATTCTGGGTCTTTAGATAATAACTTGACCAAACAAATATACCCTCACATGCGTTCACTGATGTGTCTTATGTCTCCCTAAAATGTGTAACATTAACCTATAACCAAATCATCTTGGTCACATGTTCTCTGGAACTCTGGAGGATGTGCCTTGGAGTAGGTTCATTCAAATTTGGTTCAGAATAAAGCTCTAAATATTTTGAAAAAATATTTAGAATTCAAACCTTCAAAAATCAGAGCATGCCAATTAAAATCTAGATAGGCTTTTCTAAGCCAGCTAATTAAGAAAGAGAACGTAGGGCTGGATTTTTGTTATTGTCCTTATAGGTTACATAATAATCACAGTAATGTCACTGATGACCATAAGGCCTATACAAAAACTGAATCTTTTTGTATCCTTATTTCTCCCTTTTTAAATGCTTTGGCTTTTTGTTGTTGTTGTTGTTTTTTAATAAGTAATATGGCTATTGCAGAAATCTAGAAAATAATAAAGAATTTACTAACAATCCCACTACCCAGTGATAAAATTTTCTCATTTTTTTCCTTTTTAATGACTTGTGAAAAGTAAAATGTTCCTCTTCAAAGTTTGCTTTTTTGTTAAAGAGTAAATCAGTATTAGAAATAATGGTTTATTTTAAAAACAAATTTCCTTCAAGCTTCTTTGCTTTTTGCTAATAACTCTTTGTTAAGCCCTATGTAGCTGCTAAAGATAGTAAGGGAATAAGTACATTCCATTTCCTTGTACCTTAACCAAATTATTTGTTCTGTCCTATAGCTGCTCAGACATGTCTGAACATGCCCATGCATTTCCTGGCTTACCGCCTATGCCTCTTCCTTATTTGGAAACGTTTTTATCTTCCTAGTTTCCCATAAACAAACCCCTTCCTTTCTTCTTTCTCCATCACACAAGTTTGCCTATTTAAGAAAGTTTTAAGTTTTTAGCCAGTGGGGATCAGTCTAGATTGTGTTGCCCAGCTCCAGCCAATGGAGATAGGACACAGCAGTAAGGACCCGATGTGTCAGAGATAAAAACCTGCTTTTCTTTGTTCGTGGTGCTCTTGTGACAATCAGCTTCCAAGAAGCATCATTTCTGCAGAAAGTAAAATTGCCTTGCTGAGAAAATTTTTTGACTTTGCTCCAGTTCTTCTTTCTGGCACCAAGGAACGAGCATTTGCTTCTAACTCTTTTAATTTTAAAAATAAGTAAAGTATGAATATTGAGAGAATTTAGAAAATATGTGTAAAAAATTACTCATAATCCTCCCACCCACTGATAGCCTATATTTACTTCTACTTTAATATATATACTTCTCTGTAACTAAAGTATGAAAAGATTTTAGTCTTACATTATTTTCCACATATATTTATTAATGGATAATTTACTATGTTATTCTTTAGAAATATAAATTTGAATATCTGCATAATTTTCTAT